AGAGAGAGAGAGAGAGAGAGAGAGAGAGAGAGAGAGAGAGAGAGAGAGAGAGAGAGAGAGAGATTGATAGAGAGATATAGATTTAGATGGTAGGATTGCACAGGGCATTGGACACAATACTTTTAGAATAAGTCATAAGGAGGAATAATAACTACTGGGCACCTAATATGCACTAGGCACTATCTTATGTAATGTGAAGTTCTTACTGCCATCCACATTTTTATAGATGTGGCAAATGGCAGATTATAGGTGTGAAGCAACCACCAAGGTCATATAGAGAGCCAAGATGCAAACTCACACCTGCTTTATTCCTCTCTGCCCAATCCAACACCGGTACTTCGAGTCCTTGAGCATGTCATTTGTAGATTATGAAGAATCACTTCATTAGTGACTATGCTACAGATTAAAGGGTAGAGTAAAAAGGGCACTCAGAGAACATGTTCCACCTTCTCCCCGCTGCAGTTCTGAGTGTTATGGCTTGCTCTGTTTGCTTCTTGTGCCCCGGAACCACTTTAGGTAGCAGAGGAGAAGGCTGTGGTTCGGTACCCTTCCCAGCTTCCAAACCTCATGCTTTCAGGCCTCACCCTCTGAAGTGTGGTAGTATGGGGAGGGACCCTGTAATCCACATCTTTAGCCAGCAGAGCAGATTTGAAACTCGGAAGATTTAATGTCACCTGACGTTCTAAATTCTATACATCAAATCAATTAAAAGAAGTTTCTAGAAAGGATACTTGTCATTACTTCTTCTGGTTGTATTAGGAAAGGAAAAGCATTTCCATGTCGATGAATCAAAATTCCGATGGTGTTCCCTAAGCTGGCAGGTGTAGGTCATAAGGCTGCCTCCCACAGAGCTAACTAAGATCCTGAAACACAATGGTTCTTCTTTGAATTCAATTATGAAAACATTGCGTGGCAAGAACCTGCACAATTTCCAAGGAACATTTAATCTTGTTATTTTGGAACTAAGATATATCAATGATTGTCTAAGATAGGCTTTCAACACATTTTTTTTTTTTTAAAGGGCTGGATGTGCTTTACACCAGACTGGAAGCTGTGGGTAAGACCTGCCTGGCTTCATTAGCCTTCGTGTGCAGTTCACTCTTTCAAATCTTGTGCAAAGGGAGTCAAGGTAAATGGAAACCAGCAAGTAAAAATAAAAGAGAATGCAGATGTGCCACGCCATGAAAAGGCTCACTGTGTACACGGCTGTTTCAAGGACTTGCAGGTAAGACAGACGTCGGCGGCAACGCTGCTCTTAGAATCTCACCTGTTACAGGAAGCCCAAAGCCTTGAAACGAGCTGGGAAGGCTCTGCCACACCTTCACCTGGAAGTAACTGCTGTACCCCATCTTGCTGAACCAAACAGTCACCTGAGCAGACTTAACATTAGGACTAGGAAATGAATATAATCCTTTGTGTAAATGTCTTTTCTAAAACTCATTTTCTTTTTCCTATTTATTTCACTTCTGGGACTCTTCATTCTTTTCTTGTCTGTTTACGACATCCATTTCTCCCTTAGATAATTACTATTTCCTCCTTTAGTCCCACCCACAGCACATATATCACATTATCCTTATCTTATCTCCATGTGAGAAACTCATCAAATACGCCCCCGCACTTCCCTTTGAAGACGGTATCATCGGGTTTGTAATTTACCCCCTGGTCATCGAACAAGTTACTTATAAAATGTTACCAGTTCTTTTCGCTTCTTTCCTTACAAATCCTCCATCTCTATTGCTGACACATGGCCCGCTTAAATATCTGCAGGTGAATCTTTGCTGCTTGGGCAGGAGAGAGGTTGACATCTGACTCACAGGCATTTCTCCTTCAGGAAGCTGAGCATTGTGTAACGTGCCTGATTCATACCTGCTGCAACTGACATGTGTAATAACAGTGCAGCAACAAAGAGTGTGATGACGAAAGTCTAGACGCAACAGCTGCTTCTGGAGCTGTACACACCGACAGAGAAATGATGACCCTGGTTAATCAACTCGCTCTCATAACCATTCCACTCATACCGAGAGAGAGAGGAGTTTTCCTAACATGCCCATGGCAGAGAGAACATTATGTAACTGATGCCTTTGTTCACCGTGTGTGCTCTTTGCTCCTATCCTTCCCTTATAAGGTGCCCTGTGGTTGTGCTTTGTAACTAATGCCCAACAGAGACTTGTGAGCATCTCCCACCCACTAGGAACTATGCTAAAAGTCAGTGAGCATCTCCTACACACTGGATGCTGTGCTAAAAGTCAGAAATACAAAATCACCAGATACATACAGATGTGCCTGTCTTCTGGCATAGTCTTCTGTAGTGGGTAGCCCTTCCAGCTTTGACCTGGAAGTTCCAACCCCCATTGAGGCTTCAGTAATGGTCACGCCTACAAGACGGGGCTGAGAGAGGATGCTGAAGACCTGAGATCCGGATGCTCGGGCTCTCTTGGTCCCTGGACTCTGGACGCTGGAGGTAGACCAAGCAGAGTTCTCCAGAGAACATCGCCGGACTGTGCCACACCTTTCCCAGGCCCTGTTACCTATCCCTTCACTTGTAAGTTACCCCACAAAATAAACCTCCCTTTTAACTACGTGGAGTGGCCATAATAATTTCACCAATAGTCTTCTATTTATTTCATTGGATTAAAATATTTCAATGTTTTTGATGACTCAAAATGTAGGAGTATGAACTGATGAGGTGGTGAGATGGGACAGTGGGTAAAGGCACTTGTCACCAATCCTGATGACCTCAGTTCAATCCCTAGAACTCTCACCATGGGAGGCAAGAACCAACTCCTGCAAGTTGTCCTCTCATCTCCCACAGACGCTCTGGCAGACAACTGTGCAATGCGCACAAGCACCAGACAGATAAATACATAAATAAATGTAATAGAAACAATGAAATATAGGCGCATAGGGCTAAAAGTGTGGGCTGTGGGACTGAGCCTTAAGCTTGTCACTGTCACCGGTGTGACCATGAACTTGCGGGTACGACTGAGACTTTTGCATTTCTAAACAGAGTTCACATCACATCCATACCTAGTTTCCAGCTTTGAGGATTAAGTAACACCCACGTGAGTTCTTCTCCTTGAAGCTTGCTTGAATTAGCAAGGGCTTAAGAAGTAGAAACTCTTATTAATTAAAACATGACTCTGATGTGTGCACACAGGCTCCATCGGTTCTCTGCCAAGTGGGGGAGAGCCCTCACTGGGCCATGAGCTGGGCTGGGCTTAGGAAAAGCTTTGGTGAGTGTTGAAAATGATGTGTGGCTCAATTTACAGTACACTGTTGGCTGAATAGTGAGTCAGGGAATGCCAGCATTAAGGCTCCTCTTGGCAAATGGAATGAAGAGAATAATCTGTCGCTGTGACCTAAATTTTCCTGTCTTTAGAATAAGAAGGGATTGTAAAACGATGGTCAAATACCATTTAAAAGGGCCAGGATCCGCTGTGCATTACATATTCACAATGGACATTGACTTGTTCAAATTGGAGAATGCTAGCAGAAGGGAAGCCAATTTTAACTTTCTGTCATTTCGCAAAACCATTTCTCTACAGAATTCTTTTTTGATAGGGTCAGGTGGCCAATTGCCAAATAGCTGAGAACTTGCCTTACGGTTGTCCAGCAGTAAACGGCTCCACACTGGAGTACCAGGCAAAGTTTCTCTGTCCTTGGCTCTTGAGCATAGTGTAATTGTGAATGCATGTTACTTTTTCTTCTTGTTGTGACCTGACAAGAAGCAACTTAAGAAGGCTTTGTTTGGCTTGTGGTTGATGGGAGGTATGGCAAGAGGACCAGGTCATGTCTGTGACAGCAGGAGGCTGCTTGTTCACATCCACTAGATAAAGAAGCAACCTAATGAGGAAAATCATGGCCTTCTCCATTTTCTTGTTATTCCATCTGGGCCTCCAGGCCACAGGATTGTGCTGCCATGTTCATTGTTAGGCTTCTTCCCTTAATCTTCCTTGGAATAATCCTTATAGACACTGTGGTGGTTGAAAGAAAACGGCCCCCAAAGGGGGTAGCAGTATTAGGGGGTGTAGTCTTGTTAGAGGAAGTGTGTCACTGGGGGGGGGGGGGTTTGAGGTCTCTTTGTCTCAAGGTTCCCTCATTGTGATAGTTGACTTCCTGCTGCCTTCTGGTCAAGATGCAGCCAGCACCACATCTGCCTGCACGCCGCCATGCTTCCAGTCATGATGATAATGGACTGGACCTCTGAACTGTAAGCCAACACCTCAATTAAATGTTTTCTTTGTAAGAGTTACCAGTGGTCATGGTGTCTCTTCACAGCAATAAAAAAAGTCTAACAGACAGATACAGCCAAAGGCACTTCAGTATTATCCCCAGTGTTTTCTGTTAATTAAAATCAATAAAGTTGATGATGAAGATAAACTGTCACCTTGGACAAGTCCACATAGAAAATAAAATGATAGTACATCCTTTGTAGAAAGCTACACAGAAAAGATCCATCACAAAATGTAAGGAGGGACAAAAATTGGTGATGAAAGTTAATATTGCTCCAAGGTGTGTGCCTCGCGACACAGTAAATTCAGTGAATGAGCCGTAAGAGTCAAGTGTTTTGATTATCAAATGTCTGAGGAGGTTGAGGCTGTTCAGGTCACAGCCATTGACTGACATGTAAAGGATGTGCAAGGACAGAGCAGGAGTAAGATCAAGGAAGATAAAGAAATGAAGGAAAGCGTATGCACAGACACTGAGGCTACCAACACAACAGGCAACACTGTGGAGAAAGGCGGTTGATGAGCGAACCGGGACTTCTATTTTCACACACTACTCCGAGGGCTAACTAACCACCCAGTTGGCAACCTTGTTCTCTTGACCTTAGGAACGAGATCACAGCTTAAGAAATAAAGTGAGGAAATGTTATTGGATTATTGTGAAACTTTTTAGAAGAGTCACATCTTGATGTGGGGAGTGAAGGAGAACCTGACTGAGTGAGGTCCTGAGTAAATGTGAATCCTTGAGATGAGCCCAGCATGGCAAGGACCAAGGACCCATGGGAACGCTAAGGCCTTTCCCCTATGTGGGCCAGACTTGAAGCTGGCAAAGCCTCCTTTCTCTGGTCCAAGTACGAGTGTTTACGATTGATCATCATGAACAAAAAAAAAAAATAGCAACTGTGTCTTCCTCCTCCAGGATGGCTACAGCCTGAAGCTCTTCATCTACAGAGAGCTCCCATGGAGAGAAGCCGCCCCTTGCTCTGTGCTGTACATAACAAACAAGCTAAGGGTATGGGGTGGTGGGGGCGAGCGGGTGCTCCACCAGCGTGTCCTTAATCCACCTGACCCCGTCTTTTTTGTACATGTGTCTGTGTGTCTGTCCTTCCTTCATCTCCTCACTGGTCCAGTTAAGTTTCCAGAGTCAAGCTGCATAGGCCAGAGTATCTTACCCAGTTTCTACCATCTATGTTCAACTGGGCATAATAAAAGTTTTACAGTGCTTGGAGTGTTAATTAATAAATGAATAAATTAATATCCTGAAAGCCTAACAAGTCAAAGTAGAGCCCAACTCATACAGTCAAAGCAGAGTAAAAATAACTGGATGAATGAATCCTAATTGGAACCATGGACCCACCAAAAAACAAACAAACAAACAAAACCAGCAATGGAAGACACACAGACAAGAAGGACTGAAGGCAGCACCAGCAGCCACCACTGACATAGAGCTGCAGGGGCTGGAGACAGCAGGGAGTCAGGGGGATTGATGGAGAGATGTTTTTCCATGAGGCTGGGAAGAAAGAGAAAGTGGGAGTCAGTGATAGCAAAGGATTCTGGTAAGTCAAGAAGGATGCCAGGCATCCTTAGTAAACAGCCCTCCAGTGAGTGTGCTCTGGAGAGTGCCCTGAACTCCTGGTGTGAACTCCCCGTGTCCCCAAATTTGAAGTGCTGCTGCTGCGGACAGTGAGCACACACTTTGAGAGCTGAAACTTCAGATAAGCTCAGTCACAGGAGGACAGAGACCTGAGGAATTCTTTTGTTTTGACCACAGACTACTTATTTTTAAACTTCTAATTATGGAAAAATTAAGTATGGGTAAAAGTGGAGAGAGCAGAGTAATGAGCACCAATGTACCTATTGCCAAGCCTGAACTATTGTTGACTCCGTTAGTTGTATTTTGTTTGTACTTCTTCCCACTGCGCGCGCGTGTGCGCGCGCGCGCACGCGCACGCACACACACACACACACACACACACACACACTGGGTTACTATGGTGCTGCTACCAGACATCATTTCATTTCACTCAGAAATAGCTCTGTGTGTCTCTCTGGAAAACAAGGGATCCATCTAAAAATTCCAGCTACAATATCATCTCAAGACGAGAGCTTGAAAGAGACATCCTTTATTAATATCACAAAAGAACAATGTTTAAATACCCCCCATGTCTCATTCAAGTTCATCTTGTCATTTCTATAGTGTGCGTATTTATACAGGAATCCACAAAAGTCTACAGGATGCAGTTGGTTGATCTATCTTTATGATATATTTTAACACCAATTACCTAAGGTAGACTCATACAGAAGTCTATGGTTGTCTTTGGAGTTAATCAGCAATATTTTCTTTAAATATATATATATATATATATATGATATATACATATAACTTTTATAACAATTTTTATAACAACAATTAGCATTAGTAAAAGCAGAAGTATTGCTTAAATCCCTTCTGAATTCGACTTTTCTCTAGAAACATTTCTATGTGTAGCAGTCATGTAAATAAGTGACTCATTGACATTTTAATGGTTTGATACTTAAATACTTTTAAGGCTAGTACTTATGCCAATAAACACATTATAATGCTGCATAGGCCAGCTCTCTAGGAGGGGAGGAAGAGAGTCTTCTGGGTGGATAGAACTCTGTTTACAGGCAGCACAAGCTATAATCAGGCTTAGAGAAGACAGAAAAGAGAACGGGAAAGCAACCAAGCATTTAAAAACCACAGTGAAGGAGCTGGTGTTAAGGTCCTGGAGAAGTCCCACAAAAGACCACCATTCATGTATGCAATCAGCAAGAACATTCTTTATTCCAGCATTACTGAGACTGGCTGCAGACTCTACAGCTAGCCCTATTGAGACCTAACTATCTAAGCTTTCTTATAGGACCCCACAGAGATATTGTCATCCCCTAAACAGCAGGAAGTAATTCTAAGAAAGTGATGCCCCTCTCCCAAAGGTTTCATTTTTCTCAGGGTTATGGATGAAGGGTTAGAGGGTTGGGGGTAGAACAATAAAATTTGGACTCAGTATTCTTCTTTAGAAAAGAAAAAGGGGAAATAATAGCTATAGGATATTAAGATAGATTATATTTACTAGTAAACTAATTCAGTAAAATATCAGCCTTAGATAATTTGCACTGATATGGATTCTTATATATTGATACAAATGTAAACTATTCTTATGTTCCTATTTAAGATAATTTATATATTTATACAAATACAAAACTATATTTGTTGTATTGTACACATATTCCTACTCCTGTTTGAAATATTTTGTACATTGATACAAATGTAATATATTTATCATACTGTGTGTATGTTCTACCTCTGTTTAGTATTGGTGAAAT